GCGGGTCCGGGCTGGGGATTCGAACCCGCCACCTTAGGTGTACGTGGCTGGTGCCTTAGCTGGTTGAGCTATAGGCTCCGAGCCGTTTTACTTACTTTTAAAGTAACACATTTTCTCATATTTCACTGGCATCTTGTGAGAAAGGGTAAGTAGATTGGAGTGGTCAGTATATAACAGTGGTTCTCAATCTGCAGGTCCATGACCCACAGAAACTGTATTAATGGGCCGCGGCATTAGGAAGGTTGAGAACCACTGATATATCAACTTAAACTATAAGTTATACTTATGCTTTAAACATAGAAAACAAAAGCAAAATAACACCACAAAACAGAAAAGCCAGGTGCAGTGGTGTGTGCCTATAGTCCCAACTGCTCAAGAAGCTGAGGCAAGAGGATCACTTGCGCATGAGAGTTCAAGTCCAGCATGGACAGCACAGCAATACCATGTCTCTAAAAAGGAAAATACTAGAAAACATACAATTAACAAAACAGAAGAAACTGCCCTCTCTTCTTCTTCTTTCTCTGCTTCTCTCAGTTTAAGACTAGTTAAGCAGAAAAAATGTCCTGTTTATAGGGATTAAGTTTATATTCTTTAAAAATTCTATTGTAAATAGTAGGGTATTCCTAAAAGTGATTCAAACAAACACCTTGCTTTCGAATTCCATTTAAACATTTAATAATTTTATCTATTAGAAAATATTTGCTTTTCTCTTATCTAGAAAGAATGTAAAAATTTATCACAAACAAACACATGTGTCTATGATGTTTTCTGTTTTCCTTTAAACTCTTGACAAGTTACTTTTTCTCAATAGTGTACTTTTCCCAATACTGGGGCTCGTATCATGATGTTCATCGGTGGTCCTGCTACTCAGGGGCCTGGAATGGTGGTTGGAGATGAATTGAAGACACCCATAAGATCATGGCATGACATTGAAAAAGACAATGCCAAATATGTTAAAAAGGGAACTAAGGTAATTTGGCCTTTTAAAGTCTTTCTGTGTTATTAGAAATCTGGTATTCTATCTTAAGAGCTTCTCCTTACTCTACAGAAAGAAAAAGAAGAAATCTGGTATTCATTTGATGTAAGGGGAAGAATACAACTATTTTTTTTGTTGTTGCAGTTTGGCCAGGGCTAGGTTTGAACTCACCACCCTCGGTATATGGGGCTGACACCCTATTCACTGAGCCACAGGCACTACCCAATACAACTATTTTTTGATAGAAATTTGATACTATGAAGTTTAATATTATAACTGCTATTCAGAATTAGAGAAATATTTTTTTCTTGATAACTTTTACAGTTTTTCTTGTTTGTAATACTTAAAAACTTCCAAGTAGGTACCAGTAGGTATCTGCTTGAAGATTCCTCCGGAGAGAAGCCCTCTGTGCCTTTTAAGGTATTCTTGTTGAAGCCCCTCATGTCTCCTCTAGATATGAGTATTGTTCATTGCTTGAATAGTCCATCATTTTCTGGGGAGTTGTTTAACTTCATCTAACTTCACATTTTTGTACATTTCACCA